ATATTTTTTTATATATATTTTCTTTTTCTCTTTTCTTCGATCTCTTTCTTTGCCCTTTCTGCGGATTTACCGTTGTCACGCCGCGATTGCGGCACAACAGCTCGTAATACGTAAATTTCCACGAATGTATACGCACTGCTGCATGATTAAGAGAGACTCGACTACCACGAGATGTAGTGACAAGGAACGAAATACGAAGGAGACGAGAGGAGATAACAAAGATAGAGAGGACGGCTTGGTACCGTTTGCATACCGCTGTATAATATACGTAACTGCGTTACACGACGTACAATGCGCGCATTAGGGAAGGAATAACGATACGTCGTTTCGCCAGCTTTGCGCTGCTCTGATTTGGCCCTGACGTAATGATGTTCCGCGTCGCTTATTTGTTCCGCCGAAAGCGCCGCGTAACAGAGAGAGAATGTTGCAGACGAACAAATTTACTGTTTGACTGGCATATATACACTGAAAAAAATTGGTTGAATTAACCTGAAATACATATATAATAATCAGGCTGTTTATTTTGATTAAAATAACCAGATAAATTTGGTTGCATATATTCTGGTTACAATAATCCGCTATATTTAATTGTATGAATAGTGTTAACAATTTTTTATTGAAATATCCGATTTAATAATAACTGGAAATTCTGTTCTGTTCTACCAATACTACTTTAAACATATATTAATCCATGTTTTTTTTCTCTTGTAGTTACAATAATCGGATATATGTTTGGATATTAGTACCACATACGCATTAACTAAATTAATCGGTATCATGAATGTTCTGGTTGCATCTCAAAATATTTGATTATAACCAGAAATTCTATTTACTTTCTCCAAAATTTGCTTAATGAAACATATCTTGTGAATTCAACCAACTGTTTTTTTCGGTGTATATTTTTTGTTTTTCATGAATGCAATTAGTAAAATACGTTAATGAAAATTTTATTTAAAAATTTTGTCGAATATCTTATATTTTTCATCCTATTGACTTCACGACATCTTCATTACATAATCGAATTACCTGAATCTCATTATAGCTCATCGATGCGACAGTGACTCAAAGTCTGTATGCATACGATCGTAATTAACGATCGTAGTCGGCGTATATACGTGGAAACCTTGTTGTTTGTCAATGACAAATTCGGAGCTCACTTGATTGAATGTAACAGGGCATACAACCTATCCGCAGCATATAACGGTTGTCTTATGAGATATTAAGCCATAATCCGGTCATCCCACATCACGTAATAGAATTGGTAGCGTCATGGTGAAAACAACAAAAATCGTTGTGTTACAATGTCCGGTCGAGAAGCCGATATACCGGTGGGTCCCACGAGGCAAGCATATATTCGCTCGTGCATGAAATCTGTTTGCCGGCTTTATCGCTCGCGTAGTTTCATGGCGCAGCCATTTGAAAAATGAAAAAGAGCTCGGCGGTGTACCGAATAACTCTTTACCCCACGACAATTCTTATTGCCTCGCGTGGTTGCACGTTTTTTTTTTTTTTTTTTTTTTTTTTTTTATTGTGCAACACTCAACAATTTATTAGTACGCGACGATTTTCAGTGAAGCGAGAAGATCTTATTATCCTATCTTTTTAAACCTATTTTAATTCTGTTGTATTTGCAAATAGTAATATATATTATTGTGTGTACTTTTATTTAATATTATATTCTAGATTTGTAGCAAAAAATTTCATTACTCACCCTCGGCGACTTGCGTTTATTGGTGCTCTCGACACAGGGAAAGCCACCGCACTGAAACACATAAAATTTACTTTGTAATTTTGTTTGCCTTTCATTTGTCTTTTTCTAATTACATTTAATAATATAAAGGAACTCTCTAAATTCTTTGTGAATCTTCAAAGAATTTAGAGAGAAAGAAGAAAAAATTATTGAATAGGTAGGGTTGTAGAATATCACAATTTTTTTATATAATTTGCGCTGCATTCTGAAGGTGAACGTCAAAATTACTTCTATTGTACACAATCTGCTTAGACGTTAAAAAACATAGTCACTGATTGTTATAAGTTATTTACTACATTATGTTGTGAAAGCTGTTTTAGTGTTGCAGGTAATAAATAGTTTTACAATTATATACTCTTTTTAAATAATTTTGAAAAGTATGTTAATATTAATTTTGTAACATGTCTATATTAACGTATGCACTTAGTAAACAATAAAATAAATTTAGATCAAATTTAGTACATTTTCTTGAGTTAAATTGCTTAACTCCAATATTTTAGTTAAATTAAGAACAGATTGAAAGAAATAGTGACGTATAGAAAGTAGTGAGCTGTAGAAATTATTAAAGATAACTCAAATTGAGTATAATTTTACATCATGAATTTAACAGTGCAATAAATAAAAAATATATATATATAAGATATATAAATATTATATCTTCGACAGCAATATTTCATTAAAATTGTTGTTGGCAATTTAAAGCGCCAAGAAAGATCATTTGATTTGCAAAGATTTTTACGTGTAATATTGATCATAACTGGAAAAATATTTTTATGCACAAGATATCAGAACCAGAGATAGGTGACATAGATTAGCTTTATGATAGAATAAATTGTAGATGGCATGTATAAACTGCATTCGAAGCGATAGCAGTCTTCACTGCCTTTACTGTAAACGCTACGACTTCGTAGAGGTGACTGATCCACACAGTCATTTGGGTTTAGCGAACCTACGTACCCGAGCTTTATATACTGCCGCCATTTGTGTACATTTATATACTATACATATACCTATACTTATGCTTTTTGCTATAGCATAGCAAATATATAATTGAGAAGAGTCGAAGCAAATCAAACAATAAAAAGGAGAAAAATAGTAAAAATAGGAAGAAAGATAACTTAGATTCATATAGATGAGTGGAAGAAAAATCCATTCTTCTTATCATTTTTATCGAACGAGAGCCGTACGCGCTGCGAATGTCACCAAAAAATGTATTAACTTGCAGTTACATTATGGAATTGTGCACTGTTAGATGTCAAAGGAGTAATGGTAACCCAATCCGTAAGTTAAATAACATTTTTGTTAGTTTTAACTTTCATGTGTGTCAAAATGTAAATCAATTTATATCTTTAGTTAATAATTTTAAAATAAACATCTATATTAACGTGTATATACTTAATACATAATAAACTAAATTTGAGTCAAATTTAATACATTTTCTTGATTGTTTAATTTCATTGTTTTAATTAACGATATATTGAATAGGAGCAGTGGCAATCTATAGAATTATTAAAAATAATTTCAAATTGAGTGAGAATCTAATATTATGAATTTATAATAGCGTGTTCGCATCGAGAAAAGAATTTAACGATTAATATATATAAATTCATATTAAAATGAATTAAATTAATAGTAATTGTGACTCCAAGAATAAATCTAGTACAAAATGCCTGTGTGTGAGTCTGAAATTGTTAGTGCATAGATTATAATTCATCAATTATATAATTCGCACAAACAATTTGAATGTACTTACTAAATGAAGTTAACTGCAGACGTTTCGACTCTGAATTTGAGTCAGTGCGATAATTAGTGAGGTCGAGTACAAACTGGTTTAAATTATATATCTTATTTTATGAATATATAATTCAGGCACTAACAACCGCAAAGGCTCACATAGGCGTTTTACTTTACTTGTACAAGGAATTCATATAGTTACGGAAATATATACATTATATACATCATAGTTATCAATTAATTCTTATATTACATTACAAGTGTAACATTGTATGTGCATTTATAATCATTTCACATGTAGATGTATTTATAAATCAAGAGAATTCTGAATATTGTAATACAAAACTCGCAGATGATGTAGTTCGATTCACAGCTGATCTAAACTATAATTTAACATGACAAATAATATAGACTTTTTTAATTATATGCAAGCGAATGAAAATGAATCTCCTAATTTTTAGAAGGAATTTTTAGAAAGTTGTTAAAAAACGCATCGAGATATAAGTAGATGATAAATTGAGAAATATATATATATATCTTTGCTATTATACGAGAAATATTTTACGAGTTCTTTCCAGAAAGAATAATTCCGATCGTTTTATCTAGAAAATTTCATTATTGTGTGTGAATCATACTTAACGCGGGACACATTTATACGCCATTATAATCGCAAAGAAATGCTTTAAATGTCGTCTGTACAAAATGGTCCCACAGAACTCGCCGGTGTGGCAATAATTCGGTGCGTCCCTCATCCGGCTCGTCTGTTTATTACAGCATACGGTTTGACGATGCGACGGTAGGAAACCGCGCGGGTTTTTCAGCTCCCTCGTTACGTGGACGGCCGAAACGAGCCGTCATTTCGAAACGCGAGAAGCTCGCGCAACCATACAGCCGCGATATACCACGATACCGCAAATGCGGTTTATTATTTTATCGCGACGGGCATAAAAGTGGCGAGCACTCGTACACGATTTCTGGATCTCGCGTGCGTGCAACGAGCACGATGCGCAAACAACTAGGTGAAACGATGCAAAAATGTCGTCGACTGACGCGCGACGATCTTTTTTTTTTACATTGAAACTTAACTCTTAACTCTCTTTTAACTGTCTAACTGCGGACATCGTGTATGCAGAAGGAAGCGAGGTATTTACAGTAAAAACAAGTAAAGTGATTAATCGATTAAGGCTTTTTGCTGTTAGCTTGTTACATCGTTATTTCTGCTGCTCCACATGGAAATAATAAACGAGAGCGGTATTTTGTAATTATAGTGCATTTTTATTCTGCATGTCAATAACTTTGAAAAAGTTGCTTTTATATTGTATGTTAAAAAAACGATCAAATGTTTGTATCTACATATGTTAAATATTACATTATGTAAATATTTTCCGTTCAAATTTTCAATAACTTAGTTCTCTCAAGTACTAAATTAATCGGTTTTTATATTTAAAAAAACGCAAATGCGTATATCTCTGTTTAAAAGTGTATTTTGATATATGAAAATAGTTAATTGATAAAATGCTTCCTTTCTTATCTTAAATTTCAGAGCAGCTTCAAAAAAACAAAACATTATTCTATTTTTATACATGACCTTTTTTACATAAAACAATTGTGTTGAAAACAAACTTATGTAAATTTATATGAAATTTACTTCGATATGCATTGTTCTAGCAAAATGCAATTTTCCTGTCAAAAATATGACCTGAGAAACTTGGAATATGTCGGGATGGTGGACGAGTTTCATGAGGAAAGGACGTGAAGGAAGGACGCTCGGTTTTGTCGATGATTTGCCGAGTGGTCGCGACGCGGAAGAATGGAATTGCTTTCCGCTTCCGGCAAAATTCCCGCCATATTCCCAGGATATGCTACTTCCGATTA